AGCCCACCAGGGGGCGGGGCTGGCTGGCATGTGGTGCTGGGGAATTGAACCGTGGTCCCCATGCTTTGCCAAGCTTGTTCCAAGTAGGTGCTTTAGACCACTGAGCCATCTCGCCAGCCCAGTCTTTTCTTCTAACTCCAAAAATTTGTGTTCTTTGTTTCTTTGATCAAGCTTGAATCAAGAGCCTCATTTGAACCCAAATTCTCTCATATCCAGTTCCTCTCTGAACTTTTCTCTGTGCACATGGAAGTCTTCCCTAGAATAACCTAAGGTATCTGAAATTCAACATTTTCCAAACTGAACTCATTTTTCTGTCAAATTGGCTCCTTTTTCTTTATGTCCTATCTCACACCTATGTCACATGATTAGCCACTACTCATGTAGTTGCTCAACCCAGAAAAAAGTGGGTCATCCCGGGCCCTTGGCCCTCCTTGCCACTGTCAATCACAGATCAAAACTTACTTTTTTTAAAAATAGTACTAAGAATTGAACCCTGAGCCTTATAACTACCATATCAATAAGCTACATTCTTGGTCCTTTTATATTTATTTTTTTTTATTTTTATTGTTGAAACAGGAGCCTGTTAAGTTGCCCGACCTGCCCTCAAATTTGCAACCCTCCTGCCTCAGCTTCCTACACAACTGGGATTTCAGGCATGTGCCACCATGCTCAGCTCCACCTCCTAAATACAGTACTGCTCAAGTCATTTCTATACCCACTTCTTCCTTATTTCTTAGGTAAATTTGCTTACAATCACTGCTAACCACAAATGTCTCTTGCTGCTCTCACCTAAGGCTGAAGTTCAAGATCCTCAGCCTGGCGTTTAACACCCTCCAAGATCTAAAATCAGGGCTGGCCAAACAGCTCAGCAGATTAAAGCACCTGCAAGCAGGCTCAAGTGCTGGGGGTTCGCTCCCCAGGCCTGCCCTGCCAGCCCCGCCCCCAGGGTGTGCTGAGAAGGCAATTGAGACTGGGCATGGTGGTACATGCCTGTAATCCCAGCTCTTGGGAAGCTATAAGCAGGTGGATCACTGTGAGTCCAATCTAGTAGTGAGATCCTGAATACCCTTCCTTAAAATACAACAAATATAAATAAATAAATAAATAAATAAACAAATAAATATCCAAATTCATTCCCAGTTGCTCCTCAACACATCTAGGTCCATACTTTATTTTTTTCCACATTGTATAGCAATTTATTTCCTAAAAGAAAAAGGGGAAGAGTTGTGGAAGTGAGGGGAAAAGATGATAAAGGAAAAAAACTGAATATGTATAAGTATAAACCAACCCAAAATACAAATACCCAAAGGAGGGGAAAGAAGAGGAAATGAAAACTCATCTGCGCCTTTGCAGCCACATGTTGGGCCCTGTGGGCTCTTGTGCACACGCAGCCAGTGGAGACACATCTGGCCACGAGGACAAACTGAGCCCCTCTGTGGCACGCTGGATCCCAGTCTGACAGCTGATGCAAGGCAGGGCATCAAGGAACAAAGAAAGAGGATTTATTCTAGAGGCTGTAGTGCAGGGCTCACCTGGACCTTGGGTGTGCAAGGGGGCACTAAGATAAGAGATCTTGCAATGCTGGGCACCAGTGGC